AACTTCTACAAATCCAAACATCTTAACCAATTTCTAACATCTTAACCAATCTCAACCAATCTCTACCCTTTTGACTTCTTTATCATTATCAAACAATAAAACCCACAAAAAAAAAGAATTTTTTTTAATTTTTTGTCACTGGTTCGAAGGAACCTAGGCGTACTAGGTTCCATCCAATCACTGAAAAATCCAATTCAAGCAATCCCACTGAGAAACGCAAGCCCTTGTCAAAAAAAAGCTGTCACCATCGCCAGCCACCCCTTAGCCACCATTGACAAAACAATTCCCAATTCCTCCCGAAGCCAACCAAACCCCTTCCTCCTCACCCATCGTTAATAGGGCAAGATAGCCATGCCTTCTACATCTACTGTCGCTCCTCCCCCCTCGCTCCCCTTCCCACAACCCCACCGCAGCTTCCACCTCTGATGGGATTATTCTCTCGAGGATTATTTTTATTGCCGAAGATGACAACCAGGAACCCACGCCTGGGACCCAAAGAACCCATGCACTGGGTTCCTTCGCACCTAGCACCCCTAGGTTCGTTGGAACCCAGGCACAGGTTCTTTCAAACCTAGGCACTGGGGTTCCAAGGAACCCAAACCCTGGGTTCTTTCGAACCCAGTGGTAGAAAATTAAAAAAGTTTCTTTTTTTTTTTTTGTGAGTTTTGTTATTTGATGATGATGATGAAACCATAAGGGGTAGAGATTAGTTGAGATGTTTGGATTTGCATAAATTGAAGAAAGAGAAAGGGAAAAAGGAAATGGAGGAACAAAAAAAAAACAAAAAAAAGAAAAGAAACTGTTGGAAAGGTCCAAGCTGGACTTGTTGATATGTTTAAAAAAGTCTAAGTTGGCGCTGACATGTAAATATATGACAGAAGTAACGATGCATGTGCAGCACGTGACGTTCTGACGTTAAATTTGACCTCATTTCCTTAAATTAGAAACCATGAAGGGTAAAAATTCATATATTGTAATATAAGGGGTAAAATGTCTCAAATTCAAAATCTTTAAGGGCAAACGGGTACCTTTTGCCCTGAAATTGCAATTGCAGGGTATTAAAAAGCCCTTACCCCAAAACGAAGTCGTTTTGGGTGAGAGTATCCCTTTTTTTTTTCTTTTAAAATTTGCCAGTGTGTGTTTTGACTACCACTTAAGATTTGATTAAGTGTGAAGATATAAAAAGAGAAAAGGGAGTCACCACTCGTCCAAATTATAAAGTGGGACAAGTCATCTAAAACAGATCTGCGTAAAGATTGAGGTTCGAGGGTTCGGTTAAAAGTGAGGAAGAACATACGCACACCTCACAATCCTCCGTTTAAACACGGTTGCATACTTTAACATTGGGGTTTTGATTCAACTTATTAATTATATTTATGTTTGAGTCTTAATAAGCAAGCTTGAAAAAGAGATAAACCGAATCGAAACATTTTTTATTTTTTGGATTGAAATGGACCAAATCAAAGACATACATGCACAATAAACACACATGAAAATTAAATGGACTGACTTGACTAAATTCAAAACACAAAGGACTAATTTGAAAAGAGTTAAAACCCATGGATTGAATTGCTTAATTATGAAAGTTCTGGATGAAATTGAGATAAAATCAAAGATGCCTTTCACTTTGACCAAAATTAAAGTTAATTGAGAATTAAAATTAATTAATCAAGATAATTAGTTTAATTGAATAATTAATATAACATTAATTAAAATTAATTAAATTAATTAATCACATTTACTAATCATTAACTTGAGATAATGAATTAATTAATCACATTTACTAATCATTAACTTGAGATAATGAATTAATTAATCACATTTACTAATCATTAACTTGAGATAATGAATTATCTAATTATCTCAAATCAAATTCAATAAATACCGATTAATTTATTTTAATTAAAATTAATTAATTTCATTAATCATAAATTAAACTAACTCCCCTAATTAATCAATAAAATATGTATTTTTTTTACTTTTTAACCTTTTTAGTTTTTTTTTGGTTAGATTGGGTCGGGTTGACTCGACCCACAAAAACACAACCCATCAACCTATAATAGGCAAAACAGATCAAACACCAAACAGAACAAGTCTGGTTCATCTCCTTTCTACTCCTTTTTTTGGTTTTAAAGAAGAACACATTCATTCCAAACAAAAATAAAATAAAATGAAACATTCATTAACAGAAAAAAAAAAGGGAAACACAATCATCACACAAAGTAAACTGAACATTTTTTTTTATCTTTCATTGATTTTCAGTCAACATATACAAACCTAAACATCACAAAAGCATGTCACGGAAACAGGAAGACAAAAGAAACAAACACGGCGGAACTTTCTGGGTAACAGATCGGAGTCCGATCTGGCGGATCCCACCCACGGGATCAAGCCCAGATCATTCCCCTCACTGCCTCCCCAAAAAGACTCCTCTGTT